GGCACATTTGATCAAGGGTGGTGAAGTTTAGGTGCAGGGGTAAGAAACTCCACTGGTGGGGTGTCCGTCCGTAGAGTGTGGACAGTCCGACGGTGCCACCGGCGCCCTAGACAGAAAAGACGGAGGTCACTGTAAGTGAGCGGACGCTGGCCTCGGTTGCACCGGCGTGTCCGGTCAGGTATAACAGCGAAGACGCTTGCTTCGGTCAAACGATCGGACGCTGGGTCGCTCTGCGACTGGACGCTGGCAGGATGCGTTCGGTCAGTGCTGACGTGAGCGTACAAAGGAGACGATGAGTGATCGGACGCTGGGTGAGTCCGATCAGGCATGACCGGACGCGTTCGGTCTGGAAAAATCGCGTTTGGAACCTTACTGGAAACGACCGGACGCTAAGGTCTAGCGTCCGATCACTTTCTAACTGACGCGCCTAGTCAACAAGATGACCGTTGAAATCTGACGAACTGTATTTGAAGTGGGGACACGTGGCGTGTATCACGTGACAGGACGCTGAGGGCCAGCGTCCGGTCGATCGGACCGAAGCGTCCGGTCACCCCGCGTTTCACCCAGTGAAGGGGTACAACGGCTCTATTTCATGTGGGCTTCTATTTAAGCCCCATGGCTGGCTCAAGCTCACTCTCTTGGCCATTTGCATTGACATAGCAACCTTATGAGCTTAGCCAAAGCCCTCCCACTCATCTCCATCATTGATTCATCATCTTTGTGAGATTGGGAGAGAATCTAAGTGCATTGCTTGAGTGTTTGCATCTAGAGGCACTTGGTGTTCGTGTTTCGCTGCGGGATTCGCTTGTTACTCTTGGTGGTTGCCACCACCTAAATGGCTTGGAACAACGAGGATCGTTGAGCGGAGGGTGGTGATTGTCTCCGGCTCTGATCGTGGTGATTGTGAGGGGTTCTTGACCTTTCCCCGGCGAAGAGCCAAAAGGTACTCTAGCGGATTGCTCGTGGCTTGTGTGATCCTCATCTTGTTTTGGTTGTGCGGCACCCTATTGAGTGTTTGGCGTGTGATGCCAATTAGCGCGTGAACCTCCAAGTGAGTGAATCTCCACAACGAGGAGTAGCTTGCCGGCAAGCAAGTGAACCTCGGTAAAAAAATCATTGTGTTCATCCTTTGATTCCGAGGTGATTGGTCTTCATTGTTATTCACTCTTGTGGTTGATTGGTTCCTTCATCTACACGGCGGTATAACTTTCTTGCTCACTCTCTTTATATTACCGCAAACTAGTTGTCAAGCTCTTTAGTGTAGCTAGTTGTGAGAGCTTGTTAGTTTGGTTAGTGTGTCTCTTTAGTTAGCATTTGAGAGTACACTAACTTAGTGTAGTGACATAGCTATTGTGTGGATAGAAACTATATAAACTAGAATTATGATAGGTGGCTTGCATTTTAGTAGGCTAGTGCAACACTTGCTTCGTCTCATAATTGTCTAATCGGTTTGCTAAGTGTTGTTGTAGAAAATTTTATTAGGCTATTCACCCCCCCGTCTAGCCATTAGGACCTTTCACATGGCTGCCTCTCCAGCCCCGTTCCTCGACGATGCGGGTGGCCACCTTGCTCGCTCTAAGCCGCAGCTAGAAGACGATGCATCGGCTACCGATCTGCGAAACAATGAAAGAAGAAGAAAACAGAAGCATACATTGAAAGAAAAAGAAGAAATTAGAACATGGTTAGGGGTTAGGGTTAGGGTTTCACCTGCGCAGCCGGAGCCCGGTGTCGGAGAAGACGACGAGCACCTAGAGTCTAGAGAAGATGACACTCAGTTAGCAACGACGGCGGACGGCGGAGGAGGGACAAACAGAGACAACCAACTCACATAATCAATGAGATCTAGAGGGGAGATAGAGAGAGGGAGAAGGGAGAGGCAGGGACGGAGGGGAGGACGCCGGCAGGAGGCGGATCGTGGTCACCGGAGTCGGCGTCAGAGACGACGAGGCGTCACTGGCCACTGTGTTTGAGAGCGGCGCGGCGGCTGGTGGTGGTGGGATGCGAATGGGCGAATAGGGAATTGGGGATTAGGGTTAGGTTATGAGCGGGAGTGCGGGACTGAGGGGAGGCCGGTAGGGGGGCGCCGCATCGGCCGCCTTTTATAGGTGGGGTCTAGGGTGGCGGCGTGGGGGGAGCCGTTGGCGAGCTAGGCCGCCTCCCTCTCGGGCCGCTGCCGGGCCTCCTCCAAAACCCCGTGCCGGGCCGTGCCAGCCCGCGGGCTCAACTGTCGGGCCAACCTGAGCCCGGTGGCCTGCGGGCCGGGCCGTGCTCGTGTCGGGCCAAAAGGCCGGGCTTCGGGCCGGGCTGCCGGGGCTCGGGCTGCATGGCCAGGTATAGGTGCCTGCGGTTGCTCCTTGGGACCGTCCCCACCTTTTTGGCAGGCTACACCGAACCCTCAAAGGCATCTTTTGTATCGTTGAATAATTTTACACACGAATTGACGGTGATGTGGCATATCATGCAGGAACTAAGGGGGTGTTGGTTTCCACACACTAAATTTTAGTCCCTATCACATCGAATATTTGGACACTAATTTAAAATATTAAATATAGATTAATTATAAAACTAACTACACAGATTGAGATTAATTCGCGAGACGAATCTATTAAGCCTAATTAGTTTATGATTTGACAATGTGGTGCTATAGTAAATATGTGCTAATGATAGATTGATTAGGCTTAATAGATTCATCTCGTAAATTAGTCTCCGTCTGTATAATTAGTTTTATAATTAACTTATATTTAGTCTTTCTAATTAGCATCTGAACGTCCGATGTGATAGAGACCCCAACTTTAATATCCGGAAAAACACACACTAAAGCGAGCGTTCTATGCCTACCGTCTGCTCAAACACAAATAAAAACCGCTCGAGCTGTCATGTCTAGGAGCAGATTCAAAACGTGTCATGTCTAGGTCACCTCCAGTGTTGTATCGGAACAAGTTTGGTTCGACAGCTCGAGCATGGACATCGGTTTGTGGGGCCCATGTACGCATCGGGGGTGGCAGAGGCAACATCCGCACAAGAAACATTCGTGAGGTTCGATTTTGCCTCTTACAGCTATGATTGGCTTCTTCTAGTGTTTACTATTCGATTTGCTATTTTCATGGTTTGATTTTCATCAACATTGGAGCTGCTCTAAGGAGCTAACTCACGTGCACATACTCCTGCTTTACACAGGGGAGGTGCTGCCACTGCGCGCTGAGTGCATCATCAACTTCACAGAAGAATTCATGGGTGATGCTAAAAAAAAAAAGAATTCATGGGTGAAGCACATGGTAGTGTCAATGAGACATAAAAGATAAAACCAGTGTCATGTAAGGAAGAAAATTTTCTAGGGTAATACTGTGTGCAGAGCGTCTATTCGTCCGGACGCCTCTTCCTAAGCCTACGGACAAGCCCAATAGCGCGTCCCTCTTTTTTATTACGATGCTCGCATCTGTCCCTTCCGCTGCACCGGCCGAATAAGGAAATGAGACGATAGATCTCCCGTGCTCATCGTCCATGACGTTCCCTTCCTATCCTTCCCCAAAAATCTATTGCCGCCATCTCCACCGCTCAAGCCCCCATGCCCATCAGACCTCCCTTGTCGCTGCTCATGCTCCGCCGCCCTCCCCGCCTAACGGTGCGGGCACCGCCGCGCCCACGCGTGGGGACCGCTTCCTCGGACGTCAGCTGGCCACCGAGGCCGTCGCACGCGTGCTCGCGCCCGAAGACGCCGACAAGTGCCATCGGCACAAGGAGAAGCGTCGGGCCCTGGCATGGAAGCCCTCCGGCCTTGCCTCCTGCTATGACTGCGGCGCCCCGCTACAGACGTCGGAGGAGGCCACACTGGGATACGTCGCATGTTGCAAGCGTATGTTTCAAATGTTTCAGATGTTTCAGGGGTATGTTGCAAGTGTTTCGTATGAATGTTGTAAAAGTAGATCGGGTTGCATATGTTGCAATGGTTGTACGCGTATGTTGCAAACGTTTGTTCCTAATGCTTCATCTGTTTTTCAGGCGTATGTTGCAAGTGTATTTATCTGGATATTGCATATGTTTCATACATATGTTGTAAGTGTTTCATCTGGACGTTGCGTATGTGTGCAATGATTTTCAAGTGTTTTCAGGTGTTTTTGCAAGTATTTCAGACGCATGTTTCAAGTGTTTCACGTGTCTTCAGATGTATGTTGTAAGTATTGCATCTAAATGTTTTAAAAGTAGATCGGGTGTTGTGCATATTGTAATGTGACCCGCCTGCTGCAGCTGCTGGAGGGGATGAGAGGGGTCGGGCGGGACGCAGACGCTACGCAGGGCCGAGTGATACGCGAAGACCGTGAAAACAGGGTGCAGTTGCAGACGTCCGGACGCTAGCACTGTTGTTTTTCCTTGGTCAATAAAGGGAAGCATGTCAACTTCCAGTGTCAAACAAGAGGCTTCGGAGTTGGTTCTGCATCTGCTGTCTGGTGTCTGGTGTTTTCTGTTTTGCAGATCAGCTTCGTCTCTGTAATTTTGGATAGGTTCCTTCGGCCATTATACGCTGAATGTTTCCAGATGGTTTACCATCCTCTGTTCTGTAAACGTTAAACCGTCTTTTGGCAATGGTTAAAAGACTGGGGCTTGGCCCTAAAGTTCTAAAAAAATAAGTATAGCACTTTATAAATGGTGAATACATCATGCTTCACTATATGTACATTTCTTACTTCTTTCTTTTTCAGAAAAAAAGGTAACACAATACCTGAAAGAACAATATCGTAAGTACGTACTGCACACCCTTTATTGAATATCATTTACGGGCAACGTTTCCTCTTGCGCGTGATCAATCCACGCACACGGTATAACGAATCCAGTGGGATCAATAGGATCACAGCGTGGGAATAAAAAAAAAAGGACCCCAAAAAGCTTATACATTCTGATAACGTTACAAGTGTAAGATCAAACAACATGAAAAATCAAAAAAATAGGGGAGACAATATATCAGAAGGCACAAGCCGATGCTCCCGCTTCTGCTCCAGCTCGTCTCATGAAGCTTTCTTCGTCTTGGCAATGCTCAGGAGGTCACCGAAAAGCTTGTCTTCGGGCTTCGTCGGCTTCATTGGTTGCCCCACGGAGGGTGGCGCCGTCGTAGTCTGGTACGACGAGCTCATCCCCATGGACGAGTTGTCCTGCACCGAGAGGCCATACATGCTCTGAGACAGCCCATTCGCACCAGGGTACCCATACATTCCCGCAGTCCCCTGGTTGTTATAGTAGTGTGCAGCAGCCACAGCAGGATGCTGCATGTACCCTGCCAACCGACCACCATACATCGGCTGCTGCTGTGGCATTGCTCCGTACTGCACGACTGGCATTTGTTGCGGGTACATCATGACTGGCTGCGATCCGCCATACATTTGTGGAGGCTGCATGCCACCGAATTGCATGCCCATCATGGATGTCGGTGGTAGCGAACCGAACTGCTGGTTTCCGAAGCCTTGCTGCATCTGTGTTGCTGCAACTTGACCGGGTTGCATCGCTTGTTGAGGCAGCCTGACTCCTGGTTGGTTACTGTACATTGGCTGGCTTTGTGGAACTCCCATGTGGTTAACTTGTGGTGGCAGTGGCTGCTGGATGCCGCCGATCTGGCCAGCTGGCCCTGGGAGAGGTTGCATGCCTCCCAATTGGCCGTTTGGCACTTCATTGCTTGCCGCTGGCTGAGCCTCCCAAGGAGGTGGAGGAAGGTTTCCACTTTGATCATCTACAAAGTTTGTATACTATCATCACATGTTCTTCGGACAGAAAAGAAGATTCATATGAATACAGAGAGTTCTGATTGAAAGACAGAAATGATGTAGAGATGAGACTTCTTGCCATACCGTAATTCAGTGCTTGCTCTGGTGGGGACACTGCCGGGTTGGCAGCTTGACCATTCCACCCAGAACTAACGTTGTTAAACTGGGATGCCTGATCGTAAGACGTTCCAGGGTTCACAGCACCCCCATTCGGATAGAGTGCTGCCTGCTGCGGAGGCTGTTGTGACTGGAAAGGCTGCTGAGTTGGAGTGTTGTATGGCTGTGTTCCTGGAATAGCAGAACTTGGATTGAGACCAAAGGGGTCAGCTGGTTGAGCATTGCTGTTAGCGGTGCTGTTTTGTGAAAATGTGTCGACAATTGCTAGCGCATTTTGATTTGATGAAGTAGAGTCCGCAAGAGGATCTGTGACAGGAACAAGAGCAAGTGAATTTTGTGCTGTAGCAGGGGCAGGGGTATCATCCCAGCTCAGAAGATCAATGCCAAGATCAGATTCTGGTGCTGAGGTTGCTGCGCCATTTGACACTGGTGGTGCTGGAAGAGCTAATTGCTCAAAAGGAGATTGGCCACTTGTACTGTTACAAGACAGATAACATGCATAAAAGAGGGTAATTAGAGAAGTCATGTGGAAAAACAATTAAATAGAAAGAACAGTAAATTACAAGTATGTCTATTTCTATATAGCATATATGAACAAATTCTTGGACTGCCTAGCTGCGAAGGTTGGCATGTTACACTATTATTACTTGCTGAACCCAAAATGATCATCAAACGCTACTTTTGAACTTGTTTCCAGCATGTACGAACAAAACCATACATGCATGTATTTAACATAATTCTAGACGTTATGAGAATTAAGCATATGCAACAGTGATGGAAGCAAACCTTTGATTTGGTTCTTTTGCAGCATCTTGGCTTGTGGGTTCCTCAATATCTATGAGTCCCTGCTCCTTTTTGGAGTCCTGGATTGCCGAATCCTCGGTCTCCACAAGTGCTTGCAAAGACTTTGGTTTTTTCTCCACTCGAACTGCAATGCCTGCTGCTATTGCATCATGTTTTGCTAGAACACGCTGCAAATCATCATTCAGTGCAAGCCCCTGCGACATAAGTTCCTCGTCCCTGCAGAATGTAGCAAGTAACATTATACTATGTTCACAGCTATTGCCTGGTTGTCCTCGCATCACTGATATCTGCATCTCACTGCTATTGCTCATTGGGCCAAGAAAGAACTGACAAAACTAACTATGGAGGTCATCTGTGCTGATTTTAGAAGCACATCCATTCACTACCATAAGGTATATCGCGCTAAGAGAACTTCAAGTATTAAAATGAAGTTCAGAAAAAAGCGCACTCACGTGGTAGAATTAACTAGCTGCACAACTCTCTGCTTGTAAGTGCGGCATTGATCCACGAGTTCCACAATTACCTCCTGCCTTAGTCCCTATGTGCATAGCATGTAAAAATCATAATCAATAAACCTTAACAAATTAAGAGGTTATTACGAATATAGTAGGGCACTATTGCTTGAGTATGACATAAATACTGGGAGTAAACCAAGTAAATTAGAAATCACACTGGAGTGCCCAGCACGTAAATTCAACCACATAAGGATGTTCATAGACATAAAACTGAAGGTAGGCATGCTAACAATTATCTGTGTGCATCAGTATCAGCCCTTAGTACTATATACACACTATGACTCAGTACAAGGTAATGGTAGGATCCTATACATAACATTTAATTACAAAGATGTTCCATAGTATGGCATGCTGTTAAAAATTACAAGGTTACTTCTAAAACTAAAACTGGTCAGCAGTTGGCACAAATTTATCAAAACAAACAAGATGGAAGATTCTTTTTATATAAATAAATCCATAAGAATGGCATGCTTCATTGCTGGTTGGAACTTTATAGTTTATACAGGAAAGAGGCAATGTTTCTGTGCAGCAAGCTTCAACAAAAAAGGAGGCATGCTAAGGCTACTTTGATACCTCTCTGTTTCCAGGGTCTAAAGCATTCAGCATCTCAGCAAGTACATCCATGATACCACGAGCATTCTGAATCTCTGACATGCTGAAAATATAGGCATTCATTCAGTATAAATGCAGTCATGAAAACAAACCAGATGTATTATTCTCAAGGGAAATTTGTATGTGCTACTGGGCATTTGCTGCTTTGCTTGTATGCTATCCTAAACTCAATAGCCAGTGGCATACACACAACTGTATCTCTTCTCAACGTGCCAACTAGCTCTCTATCCAATAAACAGACTACAAGAGGATAAAAACTAGTTATAATGTCTTAAGGTCAGATTATGCCAAAACGATCATCTGGATATACTGAAAGAATAGTACCCTCTGTTCTTGAATCTACTACCGCTAACAGCTTGAGGTTTTTTTTTTTTTTTTTTTTTTTTTTTACAAAACGCTCGTGCTATCTTGGGCATATGAAGCAAGTCGATAATAGATCATCAAATAACAGGCAGAAACTAGAAAATATGATAATATAGCAAAAAAAAAAAATCTATTGTATCATTTAAGTTCACGCCTTCACCTCATAACATGAGATTAAACCACAATCTAAAACTAGACATATCACAATCATTGCACACGGTTTTCTACTGTTTCATAGATTATATCATAAGACAGTAGTGAAAGAATTAAATGCTAAGCTATTTAAGTGAAGAGAACAGATAGGAAAAGACATCGACACAAAATGAAAATGTAAAAAAGCACACCTCAAAGCAGGAAAATCATTGGCAGCAGAAGATTCTGCTTCATCCTGTTGGTCAGGACTACGCATATTCCTTGCTGATTGAGACTGATCATTAAACAAAGGTGCAGGTTTCTCGAGTCTCTTGGGGAATTCAGCTCCGGCACGCTGCCGGGCAGAAATATAAGATCATAATCATGTCAAATACACCACAAACCAAATGAGCTAATTGAAAATGTTGAAGCAATAAACTGAGTTGAGCTTCAAAATTATACCACCAACTCATGATATGCTGCATAGTATTGTGGATATCTTGCACGTGGTCCCCCAAATGCTTCTTGCCATGTATCTATCAGCACTAATACCTTCTCTTTAACACGAGGATCAGACTGTAACATGAAAACAAAACGACATCAGAAACCAGCAGTTCATTAGAATAAGAACTACAGTTTTGCAAGCATGAAGCATATTGAACCTTTTTTTTCACTATCTTCACCATCTCATGCAATATATCTCTCTCTGCGACATGCATGTGAAGTATATCCCCACAGTTTTTTATAACAGTTTCCAACAGCTGAAATAGAGAGATATCATCAGCAAGACAAAGCTAATATTTTTGTAATAGCTAAATATTTGAAAAATTATTATAAAAAAATTATTCACTACACGTTCAGCACCATATACATATCCTGGACCTCTACAAACATAAAAAAAAAGATAAACAGAGGTATTGAGCTTCGACAATTCAAAATTTATTGGGTGTTAGTGTTTCTTTGGTGGTTTTAACAAGGAAACAAAATGTGCAAGTTAAATTTATCAGAGTCTGAAGAATAGACTAAATAGTAAAAACCAGTCTGCAAGATCTTCACTATGCTCAGTTATGCTGATAGCATCACAGGATGCATGGGTATGATTGCATGAGTAATTGCATATGCAATGAAACATAAGACAAACGACGGGGACATAAATTGGAACATGGCTGAACATAGAAGAAAAATGCAACACATAACTTAGCAGAGGATCAGGTGTTTGATTTGTGGAAGCAGGATACAAAAGGACAAAAAAAATATTCGACAGTTACCAGTACCAGAGGATCAGGTGTTCGATTTTGTGGAAGCACGATACAAAACAACAAAAAAGTCTTCGACAGTTACCAATACCCTACCACACTTTAAGACATAAAAGCAAATGACAAGTCGCAGATAAGACTTACAGTTAGTGCAAGAAGTTGAACTTTTGGATTCTTGTGGGCAATCCGTTTCTTCAGTGCCTTGACAACATCTTTCGATTGCCTGTTACAAGCATGGATATGGACAATCAATAACCAATAACCGAACGACAGCAGAGCAAAGCAAATTAAATGGGCTTCTGTTCAGGGGAAATGAAATGAACATGAGGAACCAGTGCAAGCTATATGCCTATACAATTTGAGTCCCAATTCTTGGCAATGAATCAAATAAAAACAAAGTACATTCATTAGTTTCAATTGCCAGCAGAATCAGAAGCTCAAATGTATTGTCATAAGTTGAATCAAAATATTTAGATTGAAAATATGGAGACAGATCACAGTATCTTCCCAGTATCCCCACTGGTCTAGCTCACTGCTGATTTTTTTTTTTTTTGCCATTTGTAAAATCATTTGTGGATATTTTCCCTCATACATGCAGCAAGCTGTGATTGATCTGGAAAAAAAGGTTACAGCACCCTGTACTGGCCAAACCAGGGATTGCCCAATTATGACCTAATCAACAAATGGAGCATGGAGCACTAATGGCCATACCAGGGATTGCCCAATGATGATTAATGATGGGCGAATGAAGCCCCCTGTACTGTACGATCGGAGACTACTAACAGTTATTTTTTTACCCAGAAGACATGAGAATGCAAACGGAGCAAGGCAGATAAATTGCAGAGTCAGAAATGATGATCCTGGCAGAGACACCCGTGGCGGATAGTTCAGAATTCCAGCAGCCTAGAGCGCCTCTAGCTGGAACCTAACTCGGAGAAGGCCGAGCGCGTCGGGAATCACACGGCTCCACGGCACAAAACCACATTTGATCGCAGGAGCGATCGAGACGAGACGACCTCTATCGGCGGTAAGCATGGAATCTCGCGGGAGGGGGTAGGGAATCCGGTGGCGGAGCAGCCCGAATCTGGGACGGATCAGGGCAGGGGAAGAGGGGGTCCGTACCCGGGGTCGCGGTTGCAGATCTCGCAGATCTCCATGTTCTTAGCCCAGTCCGGGCCGATGAGATGGTCGCTGGTGGCGCGGTCCACCATGGAGCCCGCCATGGCGGGTGGGGTGCCGGCGGGCCGGCGGTCGGGGGGAACGGCCGGAGGGAGGCCCCGCGGGCGGGGCGGCCGCTGCTGGCCGGATTGGGATCGGCAGCGAGCGCTCGCCCGTGCTCGAAACCACCCGCACCACGCAGGTTGGCCGCGCACCTCTGTCTCTCCCTTTTTTCCCCTACCTTTTCTGCCCCCAGCCTCCCTGGTTTTGTGCAGCGAAAATTAGGTAGCTGCACGCACACACAGTGGCCCGCTCGCTGACGCTGGCTGCCGCGCGCCGGGCCGGGCGGCCGGAGAGATGGAGAAGGAGAACGTGCCTGCGGCTGCAGCGGATCGGAGATAGAGATGGAGATGGAGATGGAGATGGGAATGCCGGTGCGCGGTGGCGGGCGTGGATGGAAGAAATGTTCCGTTGGAACCGACGGATCTGGCTGGCTGGCTGCGAAAGCAGCGGCGTGCGTGAGCTGTCCAGTCCAGCGCGGACGCGGCGGAGGAATCCTCTCTTTCCAGTGGGGTTTTCGTCCGTGTCGTGCGTGTCACCGAATCTGAACCGGACGCCGGTGCTCGTGGGAGGGACGACGCCGCGACGGCGACCCGGCAGCCGCCCGGCCCTCACTTCCCTCGCGCCAACCCAAACCCAGCCCACCAAAACGCAACGGGAACTCCACGCGGGCCGGCCCATGCCTGCAAGCCTCACCACGGCCCACTCCGCCTCCTCACCCTAGGGCCCACGTAGCAAACAGCCCGCAAAACCCCCATCTCTCTCTTACAGACAAAGCCAGCAAAGCAAACCCCCGTCTCGTCCTCCTCCGTCCCACACCGCGCCGCCGCACCCCGAACCCTAACCCCTCCCCTCGCCTCCCACCATGGCGGCCGCCCCCTACGACCGCGAGGCGGCGGACGCGTACGACCCTAACTACGTGCCGGACTCCGTCAAGACGTTCGTGGTGCACCTGTACCGCCACATCCGGGACAAGAACGTGTACGAGATCCACCAGATGTACGAGGGCGGCTTCCAGCGCCTCTCCGACCGCCTCTTCCGCGACGTGCCCTGGCCCTCCGCGGAGGCCGTCGCCCCCTACTGCGACGGCGACCACGTCTTCCTCCTCCTCTACCGCGAGCTCTGGTACCGCCACGCCCACGCCCGCCTCTCCCCGCTCACCGCCGCGCACCGCGCCGAGTCCTGGACCAACTACTGCGACCTCTTCAGCGTCGTCCTCCACGGCGTCGTCAACATGCAGCTGCCCAACCAGTGGCTCTGGGACATGGTCGACGAGTTCGTCTACCAGTTCCAGAGCTTCTGCCAGTACCGCGCCAAGCTCAAGACCAAGACGGAGGACGAGCTCAACCAGCTCAAGCAGTTCGACAAGGTTGCTACTTTGGAATTATATTATGTTTCTTTTATTTTCTTATACCAGTTGCTTGGCCCCAACAACAACAAAGTCCCAAGAAGTGTCAGTGAATGACTGCTCTCCCCAAATCAAACATACGTGCAGGCGTGGAACGTGTACGGGGTCCTCAACTACCTGCAGGCGCTGGTCGAGAAGTCCATGATCACGCAGATCCTCGAGAGGGAGAAGGAGGGCCTGGAGCAGTTCACCGCCACCGATGGCTACGACTACGAGGGCGGCAGCAACGTGCTCAAGGTGCTCGGCTACTACAGCATGATCGGCCTCCTCAGGATACACTGCCTCCTCGGGGATTACCACACTGGCCTCAAGTGCCTCGCTCCCATCGACCTCAACCAGCAAGGGGTCTACACCATTGTCATCGGGAGCCACATCTCCACCATCTACCACTATGGCTTCGCCAACCTTATGATGCGCAGGTGTGGCAAACCTACTTTTCTGATCACTATGCTTGGCGGCGTACATAGGTTTGGAACTTAGTGCATTGAGTTTTGGCACATATAGCTTTGCTACCGTTAGTGCATTTGATGAAACTCCTAGTATGTTGACCACTGACTAATTTTGGATATATGTTCTTACAAACTTATTGAAGATGTCTGTGGAATGACTTAGACGTTGGTCATGAACTTTTTTTTTTGCTGAAATATTCACTCCTCCCGGCAGATGAGCCTTACCAAATTCATTTTCTATGCATCATACACCCTAATTTACAGGGATTGGTTTTACATATCATAAGGTTGCAACGCTTTTTTGAAGCATTATATTACAGCCTGGTGCAAGCGGTAGAGTCTTACCGCCTATGACCGGAAGGTCCCGGGTTCGAGTCGCGGTCTCCTCGCATTGCACAGGCGAGGGTAAGGCTTGCCACTGACATCCGTCCCCAGACCCCGCACAGAGCGGGAGCTCTCTGCACTGGGTACGCCCTTTTATATTACATTCTGGTACTCACAGCAATAACATCATCAGCTAATTTAGTTCATCTCCCTTACTACCTAAGCAATGCCAAAAGCTTTATCTACGACCATAGTTACAATTGTCCATCTAGGCAGCTAGACATTTGAACCAGTATATTTATACAGCTTTCTTGGGTTGGAATTCCAACATCTGCACTTGTTTTAGATCTGCTCTGCCATGAAGTTACCCAAGATGTTAATTCTTTTTCCTCATATATGCATGTTTTTTTGGGGGTGATAAATCTAGGTATGTTGAGGCCACTCGTGAATTCAACAAGATTCTTCTGTATATCCTCAAGTACAAGCAGTACCATCAGAAATCCCCTCAGTATGATCAGATACTGAAGAAAAATGAGCAGATGTATGCATTGTTGGCAATTTGCCTATCTTTGTGCCCACAGAACAAGCTCATTGATGAAAATGTTAGCACCCAGCTGAAAGAAAAGTATAATGACAAGATGACAAAGATGCAGAGGTATGATGATGAAGCATATGCTGCTTATGATGAGCTATTTTCATATGCTTGCCCCAAGTTCATTACACCATCACCTCCAGTTCTGGACCAGCCGCTAACAAACTATAACCAGGTAATTTTGCCTCATAATGTTGCTGTACGTTTGCCAAATCAGTATATTTTTGTTTTATAGGGTCTTTCTGGTTCATTGCCATACAGTAAATTTTTTACTTTAGCTCATGGCCTACTGCAATTGTTATATTATATTGTACTCTTCTTTTACAGGATGCATGCCCCTTCACTATTGCTGTTACTATAATACTATTACTACTTTTATGTTCTTCCCTTCATCTATAGCCTCTAGCCTACCACAAGGTTCTAAGAGGTTTTGTGGTTGCTGCAACAGGATGCATACCGTCTTCAGTTGAAGCTGTTTCTCTATGAAGTAAAACAGCAGCAGTTGCTTTCTGGGATCCGGAGTTATCTGAAGCTGTATTCAACAATAACCATTAGCAAACTTGCCCAATATATGGAAATGGATGAAGCAACACTAAGGTTTGTACAATGTAATTTACACTTCTGTTGTTGATTCCTTTGGTGGTTTTGTGTATGATAAATTAGCTCAAATACTTGGACAGGTCAATCCTGATGACATACAAGCACAAAATGCATGCAGTTGACAGTGACGGGAAGATAGTATCGAGTGCAGACTTTGACTTCTACATTGTTGAGGTAATGCTGCTTGCTTATCCTTTGCTCACATCACTTTTCAGTATGCACTTTGAAAACTTATGTTAATATGTGTGCATATTTTCTCTTGAGGATTTTAGCCTCTTTTGCTGTTTAAATTGTAGTCTTTGGGATTAATCGCCATAAATAACTAATTAGTTGAGCTAGTGCATTGAGCTTCTGTGAGCTAGATGCATTTGAATGCCACTTTGCTATGTCTGCAGCTTGTTCTTGCTCTATCTAATTGTAATACTTGCTACTTTAGACTTTTACATATTACGATGTGCAATTATGCAGGATGTTATTCATGTTGTGGAGTCCAAACCTACTAAGCGTCATGGTGATTACTTTTTGAGACAAATTTTGAAGGTATTCACACATCCCAGTTTCTGTCAGATTACCTCCTGTAGGAGACCATTCCCTTTTGAATATTTTCTTTGTTGCCGCTGTCCAATCTGACTTGTTTCCCCTTTGCGGCAGTTCGAGGAAATGATTGGTGAACTGGAGAAAGTTCAGCTTGACTGAACCTGATAGCAATCATGGAGAGAAATGACACTGCTTCCTTTTTGCTAATATAGGAAGAGGTGTTTATGTTGGATGTCATTAGCAAGTTATGTTTGTGCCTTTTGTACTCCATGCGTCTTAGTTGAACACCCATTGTTTTTTTTTTTTCTTTTTGCTGAAGTCGACTTTGAAAGCCCGTTGAGGCCATTAGCTGATTCGTGATACTTATTTGGGTTGCCCAGGTGCCTAAATGATCTCATATCTTGCAGTGGCGTGCAAATTGAATTGTGCCAGATGTCCTAGCTAACAAGGATCGGTGCCATGCTGAACAAATTTGTACCTATGGGGATTTAGATGCGTCTCTCGTCTGCACAAGACTTTCGTCTACCCAAAACTCTTGCCAATTTTTTTTCTCGTGATGAAATGTGAAACATTTTCAATTTCAACATAAATCTTGTGAAAGCCAAGACTCGACTGTCTCACCTGATCAAACTTTGGGTCGGGTGGCCATGAACAGGCCTAATTATCTCTAAAACTGCTAGCTATTGTCACAAGAAGCTACAAGCATCAATCAACAGCCTGTTCGGCAGCTGGGAAAGCTGCTAGCTATTTTTCTCTCACACCAAATTGTCAATACTTCTTCACGAACCAAAGAACGCATCAATCAAGAACAGCCAAAACAAAGTTAAATGGCTGAATGCTAAATGTATGAACACGAAAATCGCGAGGGCATTATCGGAATGGCTGAATGCTAAATGTATGAACACGAAAATCGCGAGGGCATTATCGGACTGGTCTGTGCGCTGGACTTCAGAGACCGCGTCACCATACCATGTTTCATGTACCAAAGACACCTTTTCCTATACCTCGTATAGAGCAGGAGCTCTCTGCACTGGATAGAAGTTTCAACAGTTCAATGATACTGCTGTCTTTTGGAAGCTAGTTTCTGGGCTGAGACTGTGCGCTGACATAATGGTAAACAGTACAGAGTAACGAAAGAACAATGATCTCTAGGAACATATACATGTACATACGACTAATGTATAATTTATACCATATCTGGTGTATCTCTCAAAATTCTACCTATCGGAAACTTCTCAGGTTGGGGGAGGGAAGAATGGGTGAGCTAACAGATCTCCCGAGACAGCTGCCAAATTTCTTATCTGTTGTTCTTGCAGGTGTGGAAGATTCGTCGAAATCCAGGACTCGCGCCTCGGCCTGCAATATTAGCTGGAATTAGAATGCTTGATCTTTAAAGACAAAACAATACCATACTAAGTTGCAATCAGCTCCCCACACTATGTCCTGAAATTGCTATATCCACATTTGTGATAATTCAGACAGATAAACAGTAAACTATGGTTTCCAAGAGAGATTGTTTCATGCTAGTCAAATTACTAAACTATAACCAGTTGATGCTACGCACCATGATTTTAGTCTGTGATTTTCTTGTCACTGGCTCCTTGCCATCCGTATTATCCTTGTTTTCCTTATCAGAAGTCCTGTTGCCACTTGCTAGCACCTCACAGGCCTCCACTGCAGCAGCAGCACTGTGCTGTAAATGCTTCACTAAAACGCTTCACTTCTCTGCTGGGCTGACAAAACCCTGGAAGAGCATATGGACACAAATTCTAAAAAACAGTCTGCAGTGGCGGGCGTGAATCAAAGTTGAGGGGCTAATTATACAAAACCCTGGAAGGAGCATATGGACACAAATAAAGATGTTAACCAAAACAAAACATTTGCTCGGAAAAACAGCAGCTTTGCACTAGCTAGCATAGCTTGCATCCGCTGCATATATCGCTAATCACAAAAGATGCTTCTCTTGCACAGTTCAAAACTAAGATACATAGGAACTTTTTGGATTTACTTAAAGTTTGAACTAAACCTAGAGATATGGATCGAATTCCCATATCCAATCAAACTCTAGAGTTAAGCTGACTGCAAAAGGTTTATCTATTTATGAGACAATGGCTGCAAGAAAATAAAAAAGAATATGAACGAAAAGGAATGAATTTACCTGAAAGTGCATGTGCATATCGATATACCAAGGAGACTTCCATGCAGATGGGGATTCGAGTCCTCTTTTGACACCACCTGGGGTATCAGCCAATCTAGCAAAAGCAGCAATTCAGAAGAAATATTGACAAAAAGAACCTGCCACAGCTTAGTTTCATATACACTGAAGCCTGAACTGATTAACTAACAAAAGGAACAGATAATTCAAACAAAGAACACTAGTGAAATCAGTATCTTACAAGTTCACATATTCATAATCCGCATTGATACATGGTGATGATTTTTCAACAAGTAGTTCCGTAGGCTTTGATTTTGAACTAATTACTTCCTTACAAGATGGCTTTCACCATGATCAGCGGCAATAAGGTTATTGCTGCTGTGCTCAACAAGAATCCGTACAGGTTGCTGCATTAAAAAAATACCGGTGAGAAGAAATCAAGTCGAAAAAGTACTTAGCCAGTTGGCATGTCATCAAGATGCATTTCTGGAGGCCCCAATCTATGTACGACTCAGAAAATATGGCTACTACCAATCTATGTAAGACTCTATTTTCTTTTATAGGAGCATTGTTACTACCAACTGGCTAAGTATCACCAAATAATGTCTTTAAATGTACTTACTATATTGTCTTGCACTGTGTTAGGATTTGCAACATTTGGTGAGGAACGTTGCTCCTCCACGAGTCGTTTGTTCCCTGCATTTTGTGGATCTTTGTCCTGTTCAGATGCTCCATCAGAGTTTTCCTTGTAAATATTAGAGAACTCAAGTTTCTTGTCTAGATGTTTAAAAGAAGGTTGCTCAGCACACACAACTGATTCAGTAACAATGTCTCCATCATTGGTTGCATTCATGGAACATGTGGCCGTGATCATATAGGAGATATCTGTCACCCCCTTTGCAATCCCAGATTTCTTCTCAATTCTTTTATCTGGAGTAGGGGACAATAGACCTCTCAGTCTTTTCTTCATTATTGATGGTGTGCATGGGAAGCTTTCAGCAGCACTCTTTAGCAAATCTGGGCTTTCATCATGTGTTGGAGAGCCCCATAATCTTAAAGGAGTGGGGACATTCATGGTCGACCGCATCCACTGCCTAATCCCAAGGGGACTAAATTCTTGCAGATCAGCAGAAGTTACAAGATCACAACTGATAAATGGGACATCCAAACCAGGGAATCGAGGAGGTTCATAGAATAGAGCTCCCTCACCCTTCTTTTCATCTGGAACAGTCTCAATGTCTTTCGATAACTGTTCTTTTGCTGTAGTGGCCACAGGTTCTTCGGCATCTGTCGACTGTTGACCCCCGCAGTTTGTAATGCTCTCAGTCATTGTGAAAGCCTCTGGCCTGTCATCACTGCTGCCAGGTTTAGCAGATTGATCGGCATCACCAAAAGAATTGTTCGAGCATGTGACCATCTCTGCTTCACAGTCTGGCATTTCTCTTGGCTCAGATCTATTTTCGGGTGCGACAGACAAACCATCTGAACATATAAAAGAGGGAGAGATTGTCTCCAACGGCATCGGTTCATACACAGTTTCCATCACACTGGACGGAATTGATGTGTGTAATGGGTAGGCCTGTGTCAAAAAATTGGTGTCCATTTTAGAAGAATCTGGGTGATTTAATCTTGAAGAAGCATCAGGATCAACTGTATATCCTGAAATAAGAGTTTGCAAAGAAACATCTTTCCAAAGTTCGGATTTCAAACTTTCAGCATCAGAGATTAAGTGCAGTTTCTGCTCAGCGCTAGAAACACTTGATAGCACAGAGACAGGCATTTCCTGTGCAACAACAAATGGCACCATAGACTTTTCTTGATTTGATGTGCTACAAAGAGTTTGATCGTCTGCAAACATAGAATTTCCTGATCCTTCATCCATATCCATTTGCAGGTCCATTCTTTGAGAAAAAGATGAAGGAATATGGTGGTTCTCATCAGGCAAAACAGATCCTACAGCCTCTGTGGAAGGGTAGCATGCCCCTTGACACAAGGACGAGTGAGAGTCTTGTGCTTCTCTCTTGTTGGCATCCACATTTACTTGTAAATCAGAGCTCAAGGCCATGCTAGTGTTCTGAGCATTGCAACCACTATCTCCGTTGTTTTGTTGGTCCATAGCCGATGAAGAGTCGCATTGTGCAGGATATTCAATCAGAGGGCATGGGACTTGTGAAAGTAAGCCAGAAGATATGTACGAATCAACCTTTTTCTTTACTGAACTGTTCCAGTGATTTTTAATTGCATTATCCGTCCTGTAGGGGAAATAGAAGTTACAAATTCAATGATTTTGGTAATCTAAAGTAGCCCGTTGACTAACAACAAGATTGATTTTTCCCTAAAAAAAAGAGTGATTTATGCAATGATGGGATAAGTCTCATGTACTGGTCTTTGTGGGGCTGTGCTGGTCACATGGTCTTTGTGGGTGCATGGTCTGTTTTTAGGACAGCATCTTAGACTAGAGGACAGCATCTTAGACTAGCATCTAGAGGATAGCATCTTAGCATCTAGGACAACATCTTAGACTAGCATCTTAGACTAGCATCTTGGCATATGCTTGGCTGACTAGCAGCCTATAAATATGTATCCCCAACCCCTCGGGTTGGTATGGCATTGTGTGAGAAATAAACCAAAAAATTGCCCCAACTCCTAGTGTCATCCTCTCTCGATGAGAGTAAGAATTCTGCTACTACCAAGAGGAAGAATTCAGCGACTAACATGCAATAGTAACATGTAGCTCAACTAGATTTGATTGTAAACTAAGAACACCTTTGTGTTATCAATTGGCAGTAAAGCATAAGCAGATAATAGTGTGTCCTCTTTGCTCACTGCAAAAGTTCACCACTATTACTTGATACAGAAGAATACATGTTGGTTTCCAGTTTTAACTAACACATATTGGTTTCCAAATTGCCACTGCACAGTATGACATTTATCAGAGGTAAAATTGTTCCTGAAAATAGGTATAGCTTTACAATCATATGTAAAGCTTTACCGGTGGATATTAAGGAAAACATATAATTACCTTCCAGGTAAAAATTTCGTCAGTTCAGCCCATTTATTTCCATACATCCGATGAGCATGAATAAGAGTAATCTCCTCTTCTTGTGTCCATGCCTCCTTGTTTATGGCTGGGTTAAGATGATTGTGCCACCTGCATCAGATAAGATAGTCCAAAGTTAGAGAAACAGCAACTACAGTTATCAGCATCAACTGAGGTATGCAGATACATATTTATAGTGCACATAATTGAGTGAATTTACAAAGGCATACTTTATGATGCCTAGAGCTCAGTGTGTTAACAAGACATGAGATGGTTAAATAAGATTGCATTTTTACACAGTTTAAAAGGTTAATATTTAGTAATGCTTCTACTGTGGCACTGCTGTTATTGGCTTGCAAAACAGCTAGTGCCAATAATCCTGTGAAAAAAGCACCAGAGGTCAAAGCAACACTGATGAGCTAACGTTTGCCATTTCTTTAGTGAACACGAAGTATAGACTACGGTTGCAAAGGAGAAAAATAACTTTTCTTCGATGAAACTTGAAGTAAACAAGAAACTTGCTGCAGCATACCGTTCCCGGCATTGTTTTCCTATGCGTCCAGGCAAAGCTTGAGCAATGGCCGACCATTTCTTTGGCCCATATTTGTTTACCATCTGAACTATGATTTCGTCTTCCTATAAACAGAAAGAGAACAGGTTGATATTAATATCTTGTGTTGAATAAGTGATCATAAGATGCCTAATCAACAAAGACGAAGTCATTTTATCCCAAGCAAGTTGGGGTAGGCTAATTCTTCGTCAATGTTAATAAGAAATAAAAACAAAATAGAAAATCCAATTGGATGCTTACTTCTTTGGACCATGGCCCTTTAACCAATTCAGGATTTAGAACCTTTTGCCACCTGTGCAAACATTGTACATCGGTTCTCTCTGGAAAACATTCCGCTGCAAAAGTAGAAGGCATTTTGTCAAGGCTTGGACTTAAGGCAAGAGGCAGAGAGAGTTTCTTATTGACAGAAGTGGAAAAACGAAGGCATAATTTAATGCAACAAAGAAATGCTCTCTTTTTGCAAGAACATCTAGAAGTGAGTTTTGAAGAAGACGCAACTTGGAAGATGTTGCCTCGTTGCAAGGTAAAGAGAGTACCGAGCATAGATTTACAGTCATTTCTGTTTGCACATACAGAATTCCAAAACTGGAACAGAAGCTCAATAGAAGCAGAAATGATGAAACACAAGGCATGACAGAGTTGATATGAAAGTGAGTAGAACAAATATACTGCTTCATCTTCTACATATAGCATCGATCCATAAATAGTACCTATCTTTTTCCAGTTTTTCCCTTGGTATGTCTGAACGGCGCGGGACAATATAGCATCCTACATTTAAATAGCAAACATGCACCATACTAGACATTCAGTAAATAAACCAACCAAAAAGAATGTGTACAAGCAGCATTAATGTTTGTTTGGCATACCTCTTCGGGTGTCCAATTTCCTTTGGTCGAACGCCGGGTCGGACCAGTGGTCCTCCTGAATGAAGGTGAAGGGCAGACAACCAGAAGAAAAATTCAGTACAACATACGGTGAGTGCTTATTTATATCTATCTTTACAAAACTATGAGGCGTACCCGTTGAGTGACCGTTGTCTCTGTGGCTCATGGCTAATTACCCCTTCACAAGGAGCTGGCGGGATTCCAGGATCCTCTCCACCCTTCTTTGGAGCTTTTGCTTTATCACTCGGCATGATTACTACAAGAACGTTGCATTTGCACACGAAATAATTTTACCATCATATTGTGGATTATCACATACATAACAACAGAAGCCAAATAATCCCTAGATTGACAAGAAAAATCAAAAGCCAGCACCTCAGGCATCATGAACCTAATCCCGCATTTCAACAACACGGTACCCACCCACCCACCCAGCCATCCCTTTCCCTCCCTGAGATATGCATGCTACCTCAAGATCCCTCTCTTAAAACTTAAGGCTACCATCATATTTGCGGGATCTCCCTTGAGATCCCGCAAATCCGCGATCCCGTCGACCCACCCCACGTTCAGCGGCAGCGCCGATGAGCAAGCCATCGACGAATTCACGATCCTCCTCCCTCCCTCTTCGGAGCAAAAGGAACCAACCCCAGATCATCCTTCATCCTACCGAGAGCGATAAACGGAAACGCTGTGAGATGGGGGATCTCACCTCACCTCGCCCACCGTCCCGGCGTGGCCAGCGAGCACCTCCGTCGGCCGAAGCCGGAGCCGCATCCAACCCCGCGCCCGGAGCGCGCGGGCCCAAGTGCAACCCCCGCGGCGCGCGGCGAGAGCCGACGGAGTGGGAGGCGGCGGCGCGGTTGCCCGGTCGGCCGTCTCGACCACCGACGCGACGACGCCTTCGCCTCGCGTCCGCCTCGGAGGTTTCAAATTTGGGGGAGGCGGAGGCGGCGATTGAGATGGAGTGGAATGGATGCTTCCAGTTGCAGCCCTCGTGCCGCTTGCTTTGCTTGCTTGACGTGTTGTGGGTGGGAGGGGATGGGGAGTCAGGATGGACGGCGGGAGATGGTCACCGGGAGGAACGGACGCATCGGGGCCGTCCGTAACGCTGACTCGCCTGCTGCTTGGGCAATATTTGAACGCCAACGGGTGGGATACCGCCTGGGGCGGGTGGGTTGCCCGCGTGGCAGTCGTATTTAACTGGCGTTACCGGTTCTTTGGGATTTTGGAAATGGGGTTAAAAACCGTGTTTATAGTGCGGTAAATAAATCTATATATACATATATAATCTTTATATCTATATCTATCTATACTATATCTATCTATCTATCTTTTTATACTGCCCACCTCATGTAAATACATGTCACCTAGTAAATTCTGACCCACCTCATGTAAAATTGATAAATACATGTTGCCTAGTAAATTTCTACCATCCCATGTTATATTCCTTGATGTTATTTAGAAAACAGATGTAACGTCGGGAAGTCATCCAACTATATGCAATGAATAGGTCTAGATTGATATGGCTGACGGACGGGTGATCTAGATTGATATGGTTGATACAGAATTCACACGCTGTTCCATTGAGCCCGTAATATTTGAAAAGTTCTACCTAAAAATTTTCATACATCTTCTGCGGATGATTATATCGTCCATCCGAGCATATGCATCCTAAAATTTTCGCCCATGTTCTCTGGGCCATTATAGCGTCCATCCGTATGCATCCGACGCCTTGTTCACGTGTGCAATAGGCAATGATGCACCAATAGGCAATCGGTGCTTTACGCTCGCTCTCATCATCCATCTCTACCCCACAACAGAATCCTCATCGACAAAAATCTCCATTCGCTTCACCACATCGTCCCCTCCGCTTCACTACGCTGCCGCTCGCCGTCCACGCCCACCCCCACTGCCCGTCGACGCCGCCCGCTCCACCCGCCGCCCCTCCTCCCTACATAACCTCGTCGACGCCGGTGTGGTCGACGACTCGGACGTCTTCGGCGGCGCGCAACGACGACTTCCGCATCAACGCGGACCTCCCTAGCGGGGACCTCGACCTCGGCGTCCTCCGGCCGTCGTGGCGCTCTCCTTCAGACCTCGCTCGGTACCTCATCCAAGCAGCAAGGTGACATTGCACAGTGCATGTTGCAAGCTTGTGTTTCGGATGTTTCATCTAGATGTTGCAAGTATTTTATCTTGATGCTACAAAAGTAGATCGTGAAGTTGCACATGTTGCAATGGCTATACACGTATGTTTCAAGTGTTTGTTCCAAATATTTCATCTATTTTTTTCGGCGTTCGTAACCTCGTCTATCTGGAGGATGTTACATATGTTTTGCAATGCATTTTTCAAGACGTGTTTTGCAAGTGTTTGAGAGCAAGTGTTTCAGGGACGACATTATGTTGCGACTGAATGTTCCAAAAGTATATCAAAGATATTCAATATTGCAATGTGACCTTGCCTCCTAGCGGGGACCTCGACCTCGCCGCCACCCGTGGAAGCTCCTGGGCGGAAAGCGGATCGTCCGACATAGGCACGGGGGGGGCGCAGATTTCTTGAGCAAAGCGCGTCTCTCTCAGCCATGGGCATCAAACGTCTGCGCTAGCACAGCATCTTCTGCCAGAGTTTTGACTAGGCTGACGCAACAACCAATCATCACTCCCGCAACAATTTAAATTTATTGTAAGTACATGAATATATTTGTCTTGAAAAGTACTTTCATAAAATTAAAATATACATATATCACTTCCCAATAAACATTTTTTATAAAAATGTGAAAATAATGAATATATTTGTCTTGAAAAGTATTTTCATAAAAGTATACATATATCACTTCCCAATAAACATTATTTATAAAAATAAGAAGTCAAACTTGTGCTTCGAAGACTGTGTCACTGTCCAAGACGACTTCTTTTACCAACCCGGAGGGGTACATGTTTTTCTCATAAAAAAACTCAAATTCTGGCAATGTCATTGTCCATAAATTTAATCTCTTTCACATAATTATTGACTATATTTCAATATTTTGTCTAACAGACATCACTAAACCAATTTACCCATCCTCTTCGTTCGACATAAATTTAGTTGCTCCATTTTATATCAACCACATGATAATATATTATCGTACTAATATGTAACCTTAGTATTTTGGAATGATCTATTCACTTGATACATATGAGGAGTTTTCTGTATTCAGCAAGCTTATCCCCTCTGCCACCGCTTCCACACTCGTAGCCAAGTACTAGCACGAGCGTAGCCAACAAAGGCACCAACCACGCTGGCCACGTCCCCACACACTGAGCATTTATTATTTGTTCTTGTTTTCGGTTTTCTGATTTTGATTTCATTTTGTAAAAAAAATATAAATAAAAGTGAAAAATGGAAGAGTGCTTGTCCCGACTGATCCGTTTGTTTGTTTTCATCCTAAGTGTCGGTGCAGACGGTGTGGGAGCGACGTGCTTGTATTGCATAGTTGCAAGAGTATCTTGGCCTGTGGACGTGCATGGATGACTGACCAAAAACTGAGAGCAAGGGGCATGCAGTCGGACTCGTCGCCGCAGGAGCCGGAATTCGTGCGCCAACCACCACAACATGCATGTGCATGTGCATGCACGGTCGTCGCGCCACTCCATCGTTTAATTCGGTTTGACCAGACTCTTTTTCTACGACAGACAACGTGCTGCGTGCTGCGTGCTGCGAGCGCGCGGATGCACACAAATGAAACGTGCTGGCAAGTGTTCTTTCCATTCTTCGAATCCATCACTCGATCGATGACGACAAAAGGGTCGCTACTCGCTGTAGGACCTGGCCGGAATCGCTAAAAGTCAGTCAGCACCGACAGACGGTCGATTTAGAAAATACGTACTCCACTCCAGGCTGTCATCAGTCGGCAAGATTACAGGGCGACGGTAAATGTAAATACATTTTTACCCTAGTTGGCAAAATAATTACGAGGGGCATAATAAACCATTAGTCGGTACGTACATGCATGTCTACTGGCCTAGAAAACCCGGACCTGCAAAGAAAAAGAAAAATTGACCACCAGCCGATACCCACAGGCATGAGCTATCCCGACCGCACAAACATGCCATTAAAATAGGACTTGCTAGTGCCCGGACGCTGCCCGCACATGGAGCGAGCGAACGCCTAGCATGTTAGGCTCGTGAGCGAGCGCACCAGCAGTGGGCCCACGTCGCCCCCGGTCCCACGCGTATATCATGTACAACACCCCGATCTACTTTTGAAACATCCAGATGCAATAATTACAACATACAAAAGAAGACAGATGAAATACTTTCGAAAACGTCTGAAAAACATTTGAATACTATTGCGAACATATGCAACATTCAGATGAAACACTTGCAAAGATACGTATGAAACACCTAAAAACACTTGAAACATACGCTTGCAACATGCATGTATATGCAACATCCAGATCTACTTTTGCAACATCTAGATAAAACATTTTGCAACATTTGTCTGGAATAGATGAAACAATTAGAACATACACTTGAAACATACGTGTATAGTCATTAAAACATGTGCAACATTCTGATCTACTTTTGCAATCCGTATGAAACACTTGAAACATACATCTGAAACAACCGAAACACTTGAAACCTAGGCTTGCAACATGTCTAAAAACGTCTGAAAAACGCTTAAAAACACAGCATTGCTGGCGGCCATGGCCTACCTGGTGGGGAACTACGGTGACGCTAAGAATGGCAATGGGGCGGGTTCGGATTGGGTGGAGTGTCTGGGCACCCAAAATCGAAACCCGAACCTAAAACCCGAAACCGCCCTGAACACCATTCGGGTGAAAATCCATCCCCAAAACCGAAACCCACGGATCCTCGAAACCCGTCGGATAATCCGAAACCCGCCGAGCGCTGATGGGGGCACTCCGTGTCCGTGACCGAGAGAGAGAGACTGAGAGAGGGCGAGCCGCCGTCGTCGAGTCGAGCGCCCGCTGCCGCGCCACCGCCAGGAGAGAGGGGGCAGATTCGCCGCTGCCGTAGGGAGAGAGGGCACGCCCGCCGCCATAGCTCCATGTGTCGGTCCACCGCTGCCGGTAGAGCCTGCTCATGCGCCTGCCGCCGTTGCAGCTCCTCGCCGTCGGTAGAGTCCGCCATGTGCCCACCGTCGGGGTCTACGTGCCGGATCCACCGTGGGGACGAGGGAGAGAGAGGAAGCCGGTAAGGTCGCGGACTGGTGAGGCGCCGAGGTCGGCGAGGTCGCCCGTCGAGGGCT